TTGCTTCAATAGCAAGGGTAACATGCAAATAGCAAAAATTGTGAACATACTTGTGTGGTGATTAAGCTAAGTTGTGAGTCCCCATGGTGGTACTTGGTTTCTCACTTCATTGGAATGATGTAAATTTGTTCCATTTAGGACATTTCTGGAGATATTAGACTTCATAATCACTTAACCTTTGGTACCTTTTTTTTTTTTGGAGAGGTTTTTTGGTATAAGGGTGCATGCGCTTGCCAGAAAGACAGAAATCACCCCCTAGGGGGAATGGCCGCTCTGCAATCCCTTCTCCTCCATTCTCTTGAGATCTTGGGCATGCATGTGCATGCGTCCGGTGTGAGTTTAAGCCCCCAGGTCTGGGACTTGAACCAAGGTCTACTACATGGGAGTCCAACAATGTAGCCATTACGCCATCTGCTGGTCCCAAACCTTTGATACCTTTAATATCCCTTAGTAACTGCCAGTTACTGAGAATAAATTGATGTCGTCTGTGAATGCACCTAACTCGCATAGTAACAAGATGATACATTTACTTATTTTTTTATTTTACTTTTTTAGTTTTGCCGTAGGACGTATGCACTCACCAGAAAGAAAGAGAAGTCACCCCCCAGGGGGATGGCCACATCACTGTCTCTTCTTTTTCATTCTCCTCTTGAGATTTTGGGCACATACATACAGGCACCCTTTATGCTTTTCAAGCTGCCGGATCTGAGACTCAAACTGTGTAGTCGGCCATTTGAGATCCAGCCGCCTTAATTACCATTCCACTAGCTGGCTCTGTCTTAAGTATTTTTATGTTACATTTAGAACTGACTTTTTTTTTTTTTTTTGAGAGTTTTTTGCTATAGGGTACGTGCACTCGCCAGGCAGACAGAGACAGAGACAGAGAGACAGAAAGCTAGAAATCACCCCCCAGGGGGAATGACCACGCCGCAATCCCTTCTCCTCCATTCTTCTCTCAGGATCTTGGGCACGCACGCACACGCACCCAGCGTGAGTTTTAAGCCACTGAGTCCGGGACTCGAACCACGGATGACTACATGGGAGTCCAACAACATAGCTAACTGCTTGTCTCTAGAACTGACATTTATTTTAAAGAAATAAGAAAAAAGAATTATCCCATTGTGTAAAATATACCTTAAGGAACATCGTGAGTATGTGATTTTTATTATTGTTTAGTTTGTCGTAGTGCCTGAGACAGTCAAAGACAGGAAGGACCTGGAGGATGAAGTGCATATCAAGATCACCCCACCCACCTTTCCCTTTTTGCTAGAACAAAACCTGACTTTCTCCTGACCTTCCCACAACCTTATCAAGTGCCAACATTTTTGCCCTACTACCTCTTATGCCATTGGGCCAGGAAGTGGGATTAGTACTACCTTGCTCTTCATAGCCACCTCCAGAAATTCTCACTCTGTTCCATAGAAACCCCTCCGTATGGATCTCAGATCATCAGACTAGACTGCTCGTAACCCCTGTCTTGGTCATCATTTGTCTTCAGCCAGCCAAGTTTTTCTTGTAGGTTTTTCCTTGAAGATGCCATTACTCAAGTAGCTCTCCTGCTACTGAAATCAGAGATTACATTGTCCATGTAGATCTGATATGCTGTCCTCCCGGTTCCCTGGCTTCTCCTGTGATGAGCTTGCCCTCTACCAGGCCACAGCCACTCGCCCACACCATCACACATCACAGCTAGGCCTCCTTGCCAACACTGCCGTTTCTTCAGAGTTACCTTCTCGGCATCTAACTGAACCCCAGCTCCTCTTGCAGTCTGCTCCCTCTAGTGTCCCCATGCTGATTTCTTCAGCTCCACCAGACCTACAACCTGTTGGTCCTCCAACCTTTTGAGATTCCACATCTCTTTCCAATTCCCACTCTAATCTTCTGTGTGTTGTAGCAAAATTTCTCAGAAGACTTTGTTTCTCTTCTGTTTCTTTTAAGTTTTCTCCTGCTGTTCTGAAACCCACTCCAGTCAGGCTTATTCCCCTGTGACTACCCAAACTTGCCAGGGTCCAGTAACGTTCTGAATCCAGTGATCAATTCTCGGTCCTTACCTTTACCGTACCTGTCATCAACATTTAACATAATGGATCTCATGCCCTCATTCCCTATCATGGCTTTAAATACCACCTGTATATGTTGACTGAATTTTGCTCTTCACTGCTGAATTCCAGAATTGTATACCTAAGTTTTTACTGAGCTTCCTCGCTTGAGTATCAGTAGGCATCTTGAATATAACATGCCTGAGATCAAACTCTCGGTCTTATCTACAGTCTGCTCCTCCCACATTCCTCATCTCAGTTAAAGACAGCTTCATCCTTCCATGTGCTCAGATCAAATCTCTTGGAGTTTCCTTGGGTCCTCATTTCAAAGCTCATGGTCGCTTCATGTCAACATATATCTAGAATTCAGCCACTTCACATCATCTCCACTGTTGCCACCTGGTCCAGGTCATCCTCGGCTCTTGTCTGGAGTGCTACCATCTCCCGATTAGTCTTCCTGTTTCCACTCTTGCCTTGCCACTCTGTCTTTTCTTAACCCCACAGCTAATATGATCCTTGTATTTAAAATTTAAGCCATTTGTAAGTTAAATCATGTCCCTCAATAAAGATCAGGAGATCCCCAGATCACCTTCAGAGCCCATACTTGTCTACTGATTGAAATGCTTTGTTAGCCTCACATAGAAGCCGAACTTACTACTTTCAATAAACACTGACCTCTTCGAGATTAAATTACCTTTGTAATTGGTGTTGGCATTCCTCTAGACACCAAAAGTTGTGTACAATGACATTTTCTCTAAGAATTACAAAAATGGGGACCAGCCGTTAGTGTAATGGCTACGTCACTAGACACCCATGTAGTCGACCGCAGTTCAAGTCCTGGACCCAGTGGCTTAAACTCATGCCGGGCGCATGTGCATGCGTGCCCAAGATCCTAAGAGGAGAATGGAGGAGAAGGGATTGCAGCATGACCATCCCCACTGGGGAGTGATTTCTCGCTTTCTGTCTCTCTCTCTCTGGCGAACGCACATGCCCTATAGCAAAAACCTCTCCAAAAAAAAGAAAAAAAAAAGAATTACAAAAATGCAACTTGATATTATATTCACTTCTTACTTAACACATTATTGTATATTAAGTCTAGAGAGTGTCCATCATAAATTAGGATTTTTATGCGACAACTGCTATAAATTTGTATTGACTACCAAGAAATTGTATCCCTCTCCCTTGAGTAGTCAGTTTATTCCAGGTTAAAGCCAACAAGTAAATGGAATTGAATTGGTATCTTGTCTTTGACCTCAGTGTTCTCAAACCAGTTTTGTTAGGATTTCCTCTAAAGATTCTGAATGATAGTTCAGGTTAATGGGGTTCGGAATTTGAGGGAAAAATTTGAGAACCTACTGAAAGCTAAACTCAGTCCTTGGCATTTACCTCCTTAAGTCTCCGAAACAGTTCTGCTATGTAAGCTCAGTTTTGTAACTTGTAAGAGGTTTGGAAAAGGAAGGACAAGTTTAAGGTGGCCCTGTTAAGTTTGGAGGCTGGGGTTGGATCCAGGTCTGACCCTCATTATACACCCTGCCTTATCCAAGTGACAGCTGGTTTTGTAGGTCAGTTTGTCACTAGCAAGATACTGTACAGCTATTGGTTTCTTAAATGTAGTCACCTATGCTAAGGAAGTTAATGTTATAAATCAGTTACGGAAGCTATGATTCTCTGCCCTATAAACTACAAAGTTCTGACCGTTCTTTTATTTTTTTCACTTGTAATGACAAATTATTCTTAAAAAAATCTTAACATTGGCCTTTTTTTGCCCTAATTTTTTAAATGAAACCATGTCTATAAATCATTAACATTTGAGGCAGAGAAGAAATGAAGGATTGAGTAAAATTCAGAATTTGATTTATTTAAAAAAAAATTAAGGGAAACAGCAGATGGCGTAATGGTTACGTTATGTCACTGGACTCTCACATAGTCAACCGCCATCCGAGTCCCGGACCCGGTGGCTTAAAACTCATGCTGGGCGCGTGTGCGTGTGTGCCCAAGATCCTGAGAGGAGAATGGAGGAGAGGGGATTGTGGCATGGCCATCACCCCTGGGAGTGATTTCAGTCTTTCTGTCTCTAGTGAGTGCACATACTCTATACCAAAAATCTCAATTGAAACATCTTTTGTGGGGGGACCAGCAGATGGCATAATGGTTACATCGCTGGACTTCCACATAGTTGACCACAGTTCGAGTCTGGGGCCCGGTGGCTTAAAACTCATGCCAGGTGCGTGTGCATGTATGTCCAAGATCCTGGGAGGAGAAGGGATTTCAGTGTGGCCATGCCCCCCTTGGCAGGGGGGTGTTGTGATTTCTCACTTTCTGTATCTCTGTCTCTCCAGCAAACACACACGCCTTGTCGCAAAAATCTCCTAAAAAATCATTTTTTAAGATTTATTTTTTATTATTATTTTATTTTTTATTTTGACTAGAGCAAGACAGAGAGAAAAAGGGAAAGCGAGAAAGCAAGCTGCCAGGTCCGGGACTCAAACCATAGTAGGTCGTATGGGAGTTCAGTGCCCCAAACCACACCACCTGCCAGCCCCAAAATTCAGAATTTTGAAAGTCATCCTAGAAACTCGATGTGCTCAAAAAAAATAAATAAATAAGTAAAAATGTATAATGTGTAATGGTTACATCGCTGGACTCCCACATAGTCAACCTCGGCTCAAGTCCCAAACCAGGCAACTTAAAACTCACACCGGGCAGGTGTGATGTGCATGTGTGCCCAAGATCCTGACAGGAGAATGGAGGAGAATGAAGGTGATGTGACCAGCCCCCCAAGGAGGTGATTTCTCACTTTCTGTCTCTATCTCTCTCTGTCTCTCTAGTGAGCACATGTGCCCTTATAGCAAAAATCTCTCTCAAAAACAAAAATGCTGTGTGCTCAAATTTAATTGCTCAAGTCTCTGTGGTGTGATAGGACAATGAAGTGTCTTGTAACCATGTATTCATCCCTAACAGCGATCCTGCCATGAAGCAGTTCCTGTTGTACTTGGACGAATCCAATGCCTTAGGGAAGAAGTTCATCATTCAAGACATTGATGACACCCACATCTTTGTAATAGCAGAGTTGGTCAATGTCCTCCAAGAGCGAGTAGGTGAATTAATGGACCAAAATGCTTTTCCTCTTACCCAGAAGTGAGGATGCTAGATATTGACTGCCTGGGAATTATAACAAACAAATGTGAAAGACTGTCAACAACGTCTGTTGACTGACGTGACTCAGCATTGCCTGGGAGCAAACTACAGGGAAAAATTGCATATCAGCTTGTTCAGAAAAAAGCCCCTGAGCTGATTGTTTTGTACCCCAGAATTTAAAAAAAAAAAAAAAAAAGCTTTAACAGTTGGCTGTAATTTGGCTTTTGTTATCCTTTATTTAAATATAAATGAAATGTTTTTCCAACCTTATATCGTCAACTTTATACATCGGGAATATAACTGAGTTTATCTTCTAAGTTATAAGTGTAATCTAGGTGTTTTTCTTGCTTGTTCCTGTTAAGGATTCTGAGTTTTTGTAGTGTGGATATGGTCGTTTTGTTTTACTTTGCTTTGTTTCATTCAGAACTTGACAAGTTTGGGGCCAGCAGGTGGCATGGTGGTTGAGGGCTCTGGACTCCCAGATGGCCAACCGCAGTTCCAAGTCCTGGACCTGGCGGCTTGCTATCTCACTTTCCCTCTCTCTCACACTGTTCCTCTCTGGTCAAATTAAAATAAATAAAAGTTAAATAAAAAGATTCTTTAAAAAAATAAACTTTACAAGTTTACTGTTTAGATGATTATGCCAGGGTGGACAGTTTGGTAATATTTGTCTTTCAAATAATATCTGCATACCAGCCAGCTCTATTAATGAAGATGTTGACATTAATGTAAACCACAGTTTCCTGTTCTCCGAAAACAGAATTGGTTTGGTTTTGGTTTTGTTTTCCTTTAGGTTTTTGCCATAGTACATGTGCGCTCTCCAGAGTTAGACAGAGACAGTGAGAGGGCAAGTGAGAAATAATCCCCTGGGGGGATAGCCACACCGCAGTCCCTTCTCCATTCTTCTCCTGGGATTTTGGTCACACATACACACAGACCCTAGTATGATTTTCAAGCCACCAGGTCTAGGACTCAAACCATGGTCAGCCATGTGTCCAGCAGCCCATCCACCGGCCCTAATGGAATTGTTTTCTAAGTGCAAAATTATTTTTGCTGTCAGTCAAGTGGGAAGGGTACATGCTGCTCTGCATCTTTAGTTTTTCCTTATTCAAACTTTGTGGTCATATTTTTCTTTTTTTTTTTTTTGAGAGGTTTTTGCTAAAGGGTGCGTGCACTCGCCAGAAAGAGAGAGACAGTGAGATAGAAAGCAAGAAATCACCCTCCAGGGGGGATGGCCATGCCGTAATCCCGTCTCCTCCATTCTCCTCTTGGGATCTTGGGCACGCACGCACACGCACCCAGCATGAGTTTAAGCCGCCAGGTCTAGGACTCAAACCGCGGTCGACTACATGGGAGTTCAGTGACATAGCCATTATGCTGGTCTTTTGTCATATTTTTCTATCAGGACAATCTTTTTTAATACATCAATTTCACTTGTACCTCATTCCTTATGGAAATTTCTATTAAACTTATAAGAAAGATATGGCCAGCCCCCCTCTGCAGTTGTTAAGCACTGTACATTGGGAGCCAGATACCACATGGCTGACCTCAGTTTGAATCCTGGTCCTGGCTTGAAAAATACCTTGAATACATGTGTATACATGCCTAAAGTTCTAATAGGAAGCCGAAATGGAGGGAAAGGGATTATGATATAACCATGCCCCATTGTGTGCTTTCTTTCCGGTGAGCACATGTGCCCTCTGACAATAAAACAATTTTTTTTAAGAAAGGTAGGAACACACAGAAGCAAAGTCAGCCTTCCAAGAAGCAATATATTAGGTTAAAATGCATTGCACATAGTGCTATCGCTTACTGGAGGGATACAGCAGCCCTGACGGGGGCCTTGTCTACCAAGCCACGGAGCTGGCCTTTATCTAACCCAGTTTTTCACAGGCCTTGGGCATTTGTCACCAAATAGCTTTTACATTAACATGAAACTTAAGAACACTTTTTATAGACTCTCAGAGTTTAAAAGATAAGGAGAAAACTATATTGAACAGTGATTGCAAAGTGTGTTGAGTAAAGGAAAACTTTATTTCATTAACTCTAATTTTTATAAAGTTGTGTTGGGGCAAATTTAACTGTATCTGGACACTGCATTAAGATGGGACAGTGTGCTGGCAGGAAGCCGTTGATTTGTCCAGCTGGGAGGAAATAGGAAATGCTCAAGTGACACGGTGTCTAGGCTCCGCTCTTAGAATCTGGATGGCAGTGTTTGATTTGGCACACTGAATGTATCTAGGGCAACAGATGCTATCTGCTCAGCTCCAGGAAAAGTGACTATTGTCGTTTTTGTTTTTAACAAAACTTTAAGTTTTCGTTCCTTTTTTCTTTTTAGAGAGATTTTTGCTATAGGGCACACATGTTCACTAGACAAACAGAGAGAGACAGACAGCAAGAAATCACCCCCCAGGGAGGATGGCCACGCCATCCTTTTCCCCTGTTCTCCTTTCAGGACTACAGGCACGCACACACGTGGCACCCAACATGAGTTTTAACTCACCAGGTCCAGTACTCGAATTGTGGTTGATTACATGGGAGTCCAGTGATATAACCATTAATACCATTGCTTAAGTTTTCTTAACTACATAAGATAATTGTTTTAATTTATGGAAGGAAACTGATCAACCACAGGTATTTATGCACTAAAATTGTGATCTTTAGAGTTACACTTTTTTTAATTTATTTTTTTATTATCATCATAATCTTCTTTATATTACATTGGATTACATATAACTTTACATTGACTTTCATTGCTTTTTCAAAAGGGAATGCCATGCATGTCAGTCAATACAGAGACATCAATCTCCCCGCTTTATCATTCAATGTCTTTTCCATGCATTTCCCAATAATTATTATTATTATTATAATTTTTTAAAACAGTCAATCACTATTTCTCATTTTGCTTGTTAAAAGACTTCACCCATCATGAAATACTTCCCAGACCAGTCCAGTTGAGAATACTATACACGTCATCATGAACAGATAATAAACCATATCTGTTTCTCACTAACATCCTCTCTATTGTTCACTTGCTATCTTTCTCTATCCTCTTCTCTCTTTTTTTT